TAATATTCATCAAAATGACTACATACATTCGTATATATTTTAGGATATTGGGTATTATTTGATATTAAGCACGGTGCTGCAATCTGTAATGTTACAATGACAGTTCACGGTTTCAAAAAACTCCACTAGATAGCACTGCAWGTCCTTTTGACAATTTTACATAATCATTAAGAGAACGCAGTTCCCGACCAAGCTGCCTGACCTGTATATAAGACCATGGTAGAGATAATAAATCTTGGCGCGGGCATAAACAATACGGTTTACGAACCCTGAAACACTCAAACACATACACAGGCACACAGCTGTTGGACGCCTATAMGCGCGCGCGCCAACAAGATATGACTGCGGTTAGCGGTAACGACTAACGACAATAAATTACAAGTTTTATAAGTTACAACAGTAGTAGACACTAGACAGTAGTAGTTGGTAGTTAATACTGTGAATAGTCTCAGACGTCTCAGTGAATAACTACCGTCTACCAACGAACCAGTGGCGACCTGTGCGACTGAACACCGGATTGACGGAGCACCGAGTTTCGATTCGTAAAACTACTACGATCGATTTCGCACTTTTGCAGTCAATACCACTCGTTACTTTCGGCCCGCTGTTAGTCGTTTACTTTTGCACTATAGTCGACGTGTGCGTTTCGTCAGTCTCAATTGTTAGCCTATCATGTCCGAATCTGAAGGCAATTCTTTCAACGAGAACGAAGACGACCAAGTGGTCGGGCTGGTCGAGTACATCAACGATCAGAATGCTGAGATCGAACGAGCCAATTTGATACTCGAGGCGTCTGAAAGTGACAGTTGCACTTATTCCTTGGTTTGTAGACCGTCTGTTGAAACGTGCAATAAATATGTTTTATTTAAACCTTCTTACAGGGGTACATGAATCGACAAGCATTGTACGCTTGTTTGACTTGCACTGAAAAAGACAAGTTGCCTGGTGCTATATGTTTGCCCTGTATGTACCAATGCCATGAAGACCACGAGTTGATTGAGTTATGGACAAAAAGGTATATAAAATTTGTTTTACTTTTACGTCTACAATTTGCATAATATGATTCAAAATTTTTAAGAGGAAAAATAAGATACTTGTAGACTCTCAATAGTGAATAATTATGTACTGCAGATCAAGCACGCCCGCTGTATAAAATCCCACCCGGAGCAAGATCAAAATAATTCTAAAACCAAATCAAAAAGATTATTTTAAATTTTTATATATTTCTAGTGACTTCATTCTAAAATAGCATATAACCTTAATAGAAAAAAAACAACATTATGTCATCACATAAGTCCCTTATATGTGTAGGTTTACAATAAAATAATATTTTTTGAATACATGTTAATGTAGATGTTACAAATTAAATATATTTATATTAAATATCAAATAAAAGTTTATGCGTTTCGATTGCATACAAAATGATTATATAATAAAACGTCTTCAATAATTTTTTGTTTTAGCTTTTTAAGAATGTCTTTAATATGTGTGGCATTCATAGTTTTAAAATATTCCCAGTAGGGGCAATGGCCCCCTTTGCGGGCGCTCTTGCTGCAGATATGTACTATAGTCTTAATCAGATATGGGTCGACTGTATCGCTTTTATATTGCTCGTGCAACCTTAATATTGAATTATTACATATCAATACACTCCAATTTTATCCTTGATTGTTACCTATTTATCATATTTTAAATGATCTTAATCTTATAATCTCGTCTTATATGATTATGTTAATATTCTATTACCAATTACCAAATTATGCTAAAATATTCAGTCTCTTTTTAGAACGATAAAACACGACATTTCCCATGTATATAATAGTATATTGTGTTGATTTTCGGAACTTATTAAAATATAGTGAAAATGGGTTTAAAGATCGAATACTTTTTAAAAATTAATTAGTGAATCATAATTTTTTATTTGTTCTTGTGTTAAATTTTGTTGTTAGATATTAATAAAATAAATCACTAATAATTTTTATTTTTTAAAAACTATCAAATAGAATGCTTTACTTGCATGTGTTGTTGTTTTCATCTTACTAATATACAATATTTTCTTGTTATAAAGTGCACATTTTACTGTTGATTTCTTAATTTTAAAATATTATCTTTTAATAGCACTATTTTGAGTCTTGTACAATTAAATAATATTTTATTTATATGTATTTTCTTACACAGTTAATGGGGAATAAAGTCTCAGCCCTGATATATTTACTGACTAATTTTTGTTTTACTTTTATAAAGGAATTATCGTTGTGATTGTGGAAGTGATAAGTTAACATCAGAGTGTCGATTGGAACCGGTAAATAAATAATTTAGTATACACATTTTATATCGTGTCTTAACACTCTTAACAGACAGTATTGACTTTAGTTAGTAAATATTACTAAATAATTTTTATTAGCTATATATTACTTGATTTATCCATAATTATAGATAATAGAATTTGTTATAGTTGTCTGATTAGAAAATTTTAGTCTGTATTGATTGGAAACGATCATTGTTGACTGATTTTTTTGGTTGAGGGGGTACATACCAAATCATTAGTGCAGGTATGAAACTTTTCATTATTATTCTAAATAAACAATAGTACAATATTATAATAATAAATATTTAAAAAATGTTCTCATTGAAATCAAATATTAAAAAAAATAAAAATAAAAATCGAGTAGCAAATACAGATTGAACGTATAGATTTATTGAAATTTTCTTTCAATCTACATATTTTATGGTAATAGTTTATACATTTGTACAAAAATATTAGTTTAATTTTTTTAAATGATTGATTCTATTTATGAACTAGTCAAAACCCGAAGCAAATGACCGCAATGTGTACAACCAAAATTTTAAGGGATTATACTGCATTTGTCAACGTCCGTACCCTGATTCTGAAAATACTGATGAAATGGTACAATGCATAGTTTGTGAAGATTGGTATCATAGCAAGGTATTTATAAAAATTAAATAATTTTTAGATTCTGCTATTAACAAAATATTTTATTAGCATTTGGGTACAAAAGATATGAATCCAGATGATTATTCTGAAATGATATGTTCTGGCTGTACATCAAAATTAAGTTTCTTACCAGCTTACAATCATTTAATTGGTAAGAAATTATTTGTTTAAATATCTAAAATTATGATTTTTTAATTATGGACATATAAATTTGAACCAGAAATTAGTGCATGTATATTTTTTTTTTAAATATGTTTCTTGTTTTTACAACTTATGTACTACAAATTAATCCATTGTCTTTAATTTGTCTAATACCTAATTTTCTTTGTAATAGCTTAAATATTATTTGTCAATTAAAATAGGTATGTGTGACAGATTTTCATTTAAAAATTATCAGGAATGTCCATATTAAGAATTAATGAATCCTCTTTTTTTGCTATCATTGATATAGCTGAAGTGTGGAATATACATGTATAAACAAATTATAGCTGATAAATATAATAGAAATATTAAATACAATTATTAGGTTATCCATTTATTCAGTACCAAAAATCATATAATAAATATATATATAAAAATGCAACTATTTAAACATTTTGAAACACACTTACAAACTAAATATTTATTTACATTAATTTATTGCATATTATTTTGCAGTGACTGATGATTCAGTACAGAAGATTGAAAAAGGTGATGAATCTGAGGTATGATTTAAAATGAGTTAAATAAAAATTTTCTTCTGCTATAACTTACATACTTTGCATTTATGAATACAAATGTTGATGACATATGATATTTGACTCCTAAAAAAAAAAAATCATAGATTTAGAACATAATTTAATTTTGATTTTCCTTAACCCTTACATAATTACATATGGGAGTTAATACTTGATATGAAGTAGTAAAAAGTATTAAATTTTTAATCATTTAAAATATTTAAAATAAATTTATATTTTTACATTTTAATTATTTTTTGTATACAGGATGTCGATGTTGTGGATACAATTACGAAATCTCAAGGTAAATTTTCGACTAATTACTATAAAATCTTTCATTCTTACATCAAAATATTTATTTTTAGATGATGCTGAAAATGATTCAAATGTTGTATCCAAAGACATGGTATGCTTGTATAAACTGATAATATTAATTTACTAGTTTCATTTGTTAAATTAAATAGCAAGTTATATATCTATCATTCAATTTGTGTTTTAGACATCTGAAAACGCTAAAGCTAGTACTTCTAGTGGCAAAAATTGTAAATTGATAAATGCGAAAAACCCAAAAAAAATTATTGGAAGTTCTTTTTGGGTAGAAGGTTGGCGTCAAGAACTTTGTACATGCTCTACTTGTATTGTAAGATAACAAGATAAATATAAAACCACAATTTATCATAACTATATAAGTCTTGATATATTTTTAGGAATTATATAAAACAGAAGGTGTTCCATTTATTATTGATCAACAAGATACACTACAGGCATATGAAAACAAAAGCCGTGAAAGAATGGTGGCTAAGGAAAAACAAAGTGAAGATGGTCTCTCCAAAGCCTTGTCATCTATGGACAGAGTGGCAGCAGTGGAATTAGCTCATCGTCAGTATCTCTGTTTATGTCTTCATTATCAAAATAACATGTTCTCATCAGTATATTTTGTAATATTTTAGAGTATAACCAGTTCAAAGAAGAACTAGGGGAGTGGCTAGGTAGCTTCAAAGGTGATAAAGTTGTTAGAGTGGAAGACGTGCAAGAGTTTTTTTCTGGGATGCAAGCAAGAAAGCGTGCTAGGATGGATGATGGAATTCCTCCAAGTTTCTGTCGTTAATTTATTCAAACAACATTTATTATCATAGATTGAAACACTTATCAATAAGATAATATATTAAGGATTTCCTAGTATTGTAATTTTAAAAATTTAATTTAATTCATTTATATTCTCTACTCGTATATTAATAAAATATATTATGTCATAATTCACAATATATTGCTAATGGTCATGGACTCATGTTATCATTTATAAAAAACTTTTCAATTTAAATATAGACAATACCTTTATGATAGTTATTTATTATTGATGAAATGATGACTATGTCTACGTTTGATGTGCAATATGCAATATTGTGCATACACCTGTTATATATTACTATATTAGTATAATAATTATGCTATTTAAAATACAGAGTTGATGTCAAATGAACAATTTTAATATTAAAATAGTACAATTTACATTCTTTTTTAATATACATATTTTAGAATATAAATTAAAAAAGGTTAAATTGGTCATACACCTACTTCATTAAGAAATACAAATTTAAAATAACAATTATACCATTTAAAAATAACAATTGTTCATTGTTAAGAAAGGAAGTCATACAAATATTAAGTGCTTTTAATGGTGATATAGATTACAAGGAATTGTCAAGCAGTATTTATATAATAAGATCTTACAATATTAATCAAAACAATATCGTTATCGAGAAGCCAACGACCTTGTTTAATTGTCTAACTATAAAAAAGAAAAGTATAAACAAGGAAAAACTTATATAATTATTGCTGTTGTGTTTTACTGCATTCTTTTACGTAAATGTAATAATTGTTATTTTTGACAAATTTTAGCTGTACTTTATTCCAAATAAGAATAGCCAAAAAAAATCGAAGAAAACTGGTTGCTGCAGCTCATCCTCTCCCACAAACATTGCATATTGGAGTGCAAATGTCGTAACATTATGCAACATCACAGAGGTGTCTGAAAGAAGGATTAACGTCAGTCACTGATGATTGTTGACCAATTATACAGCACTTGAGCACTAGCATTTGCTCTGGATAATCTGGCGTCTCAGTATGTTTGTGCAAAAGCAGGTTCTTATTTAGAATTGAGTTTAGCAACACTCATTTTATAATCAAAATTCAAAAATTGATTTTAATAGGAATAACAAAAAATAATAATAAAAATAAAATTTTCTCAAATGTTTTACAATCGCAAATACAGAGTGCAGCAAAAAAAAAAAAAAACTCTTATAATATAGAAATTGTGTTATGTGAGTTGTAGTGAGGTGGTTAAACTATGGAGGGGGTATCGATTGATAGTAGTAAAGAGTATAGACACGTAATTTTAATAGGCGCGAATTTACAGGCCCCACATCACTACAAACACTTAAAACGACGCTACACCCGCATATGTTGTCTCCGTCTTACAAGTGCGTAACATATCAAATTTTATGCTCAGCAGAACACGTTTTGCTCCGTTAGTTCAAAATTTAGAGTAAATTGACCTCTAACAAAAATTAAAGGTAACATTATTATCAAGGGCATCTCGTAGGCTTTTTATTATATTTTAATTTAAAAGTGAGTTATGTGTATTTTAAGATATACAAACAATTTACAATTTTAAAATACACATAACTCACTTTTAAATTAAAATATAATAAAAAGCCTACGAGATGCCCTCGATAATAATGTTGACTTTCATTTTTGTAAGAGGCCAATTTACTCTAAATTTTGAATTAACAGAGCTAAATGTGTTCTGCTGAGCATAAAATTTGCTATGTTACGCACTTATAAAACAAAGACAACACATGTGGGTGTAGCGTTCTCTTAAGGATGCAATTACACATAAGGTGGCTGCTGTTACACTGGCAATAACATTTAAGTTATGGAAAGGCTTTGTCAATGTATCAACAATGAAAGGCGGCATTTGACAGATGCATATTTTATATGATGTAAAATGGCATACTATTTTTAATTCAAAAATAAAAGAATTTTTTCTGTATCTTTGTTTAATTACAACTACTTTTCGGAATACGGTAGGTTTTTTTGCCGAACCCTGTAGTTTTTGGTAAGTTGATGATTACCACAACTAATTTTACACTTTTTAATGTGTCAGAAATAAGCCATATCCAATGTATTAGATAATTTAAAGGTATCTGAGATCTGCAATTTCATCCACACATAATAGTTACCTAAACTTTTTATTTTTAAAACTATATAAATAATCTTATACATTATGAATATTTGATTAGAAATTCTAGGAAATAGGACTGTGGAGCTAAAAATAGTATAACTAATAACTTGCATAGCTACAAAATTAGTCCTACAAAAAGGTATACTTAAAATACTATTTTGGCAGTTAATAAAATATTAAAGTGTATGGAAATATATTTGTTTTCTATTAAATAATTGAAATACAGGTAAAATAATAAGGCAAAGGACTAAATATATAAATTTATTATATTTATAATCAATTTAAACAAAATATATTTTATCAGTCAAATAAAAAAGCATTTCATTTTTAAATTGAATTCAACATTGAATATAAAATATTATTATGAATAGTAAAACAACATTAATATCGAAAATATTGCATAATTACACTAATTTGTTGATGAATAAATTTTTCAAATTGCTTTAAATGTAAAGCCGTAAAATAATATAATTATTGATATTATTTTACTTACTTTTAACTCTATTGTTTGAACTTCTTTGTTTGTCAGGTCACCCAATTTTTTTGTGTTTGTATTAATATTATTTAATCTTCGACATCTTCATCTGTAGTAAACTCTGAAATATCACTTTGTTTATCTTCTTCTTTAGTGTCATCTTCTTCATCAGAAATATCCCACTGTGGATGTTCTGTTAAAGGTTCTGGTGCTTCTTTTACATCCAACTGAAAATAATAATGTGTGAAATCACAAATAGTTTTAGTTTTTACTATTTTTAAGGATATAGGTATATTTTTTATTCGGAAAATTTAAGCATGTACTTTGTGGAAGGTTATCTCAGATTTTGATCCTATAACTTTTAACCAATCTGTCAGGATCAGTATGATATTGAGACATAATATTTATTCTAATATATCAAAATTATTCGAAAAATTGAAAATGTCAGTATATACTCAATTTGTAGTTTTCGCCACAATTTATATGGTTAACTACCAAAAATATTTATATTGTTATATTTGTTTTTCCAATAAACCAATTTTTCAATGTACACGCGGACCTACTAGTTCTATAATTACACTGACTAAATAATAAACAGATAAAATTTGAATTTCTGTATGTCAATTGAACTATTTCATTATAATTTATAAAAAGTATAATTTTCAGATACTATTGAAATGAAGAATCTAATTGTATGTGTGACACTGTATAACTTAACCATAAGTCTAAGTATTTTTTTTTTTTTTAATAAGCACTTACTTTGATGTCATGCATTTGATCGAAACCAAAGTATGAATCTGACCTAAGACAAACAGCAAACACATATACTCCAGGCCACCTAGGAGCTGTAAATTTTAATTGAATTTCTTCTTCATCTACAAGTTCAGTGACATGATATGGAACAGTCAACAATGTACGGCTTTTTCGATCACTCAAATAAACCCACCAATATTCATGTTTTTCCTGTTAAAGTATTTAAATCATGAATAGGTTTAGAATTTAAATAGTAAAATATACATACTAGTATAATTGATTATTAAATAATTTTTTATACCTCAGGAAAATATGGGGAGTGAACCAAATGTGATTGTTTTGTTCTGCCCTCAAGTACTCTGTCTTTTTTGTTAGCTCCAGATTGGAATTTGTCCCAATCATCATCATCGTCATCATCATTATTTGACGAAACCTATAACAAAATAAAACAACTGATTGTTTAGTAGGTGCAGCTTTCTTTTTATATTAATATACAACAAATGAGAGTGAAGTTAAAATGTGAATGTATGGTAAATTAATGTTATTTCTTAAAATGTTAACATTTTTCAAGTGCATGATTTTTAAGTAAATATTTAAAATGATTAATATTTGTGATTGTTTTATAATTGAACATTGACATATACCGATATACCAAGTACAATTATTTATAACAAACACATTATAGAACAAACAATAAATGTTATAAACATTCAATCAGAATATTAACAAATCATTTTTCTTCTATTATTATCAGAGGTGTCAGGTTTACAGAATGTCATCTCACGGGGTTACTATTTTATAAATACATATACATTTTTACCTAAATAATTTAATTTTCCTTAAATATATTTTTAAACAATCACAAATATATATAAATTCGTTGTTTTGTATGTTATAACATTTGAACTGTATTAGTAATTTAATTTTGAAAGTTATATGTTTTATATATAAAATTAATTTTTCCACTCTTTAGAATTTTTAACGAATAGGTTTGCATTTATTTCTTCATCTCATAACATGAAGAATAGAAATATCATTTAAAATGTGATAGAAGGTGTATAGTATTATTTTATTTCAAACCATTATCATGCTGTTGAATAGATACCAATTAATCAAGAATTTGGTTGATTAGGTACCAAAATCTAGACTTTTCTCTGTTATCAATATTAGGACATTATTTATTTTTCTCAATTAATTAATTATGAATAAAATGAGTATTTTGAAGGAATTTAACAATTTAAGAACCGTGGGAGCTGAGCTCCACTTTATCGAGCTCATGGGGGCTGCAGCCTTGAGCCTCTCTGTACTTGGCACCCTGATCAATATTATATTTTACATCAAAATTAATTTACTTAACTAATGTGTTTAATTCAGCCAGTGTTTTCAAAGAGTTTGAAAAATTCAAATCTATCATAAACACAACATTTTTTCTACAATTATCACTATAAATACCTTTTTTTTATCATCTACTGTTTCTTCAGCATCTGATTTCTCTGATTCATCTCCAGAAGCATCACTAGAACTTTCATTATCTGAATCAGAATCATCATTTGATGACGCATTACTATCTTTTAATTGCTCTTTCTCTTCAGGTTTATCATCTTCAGTTTCTTTAATTTCTGGATCTCCTAGCTACATAATTAAATTGATAAGTAAGGAATATATTGTTAACTTTTTTTCATTAGATTGTGATTATATTTTATACAAAATGATACTTATGTTTTTTTTTAAAGACAAATAATAAAATTTCAGTACCTTTAAATGTTAAAATTAGTATTATCTAATTTAATAACCGATTCACGGGAGATAAATATAAATGTGAAAAAATAATTATTAAGTACTTTATAATAGGATAAATACTAAGCAAAAAGATAAGAGATTATTAATCAATAATTATACAGTTCTTAGTAGTTGCTACCATAACAAGTACTAACTTCGTTATTGCAGTTAAAAATCAATTAAGTTAAATTAGTACATACTTTTGCTTTTTCCAATTTTTCTTTCTTTTTAATTTTTTTCTTAGCTGATGCCGACAAAGTAGCTTTTGGTTTTTTGACATTTCCACTTTTTTTACCTTTTCCCGATTGGCGTTTTTGCTGCCAAATACCTTTAGTTACTTTTTTTTCTTTATCGTCATCTTTAGTTTCTTTATTTTCAAAATCTTCATTATTTTCTATTACATTTCCATTTGATAAAGGTTTCTCTGATTTATCTGTTTCCTTAGCAGCATTTTTTTCTAACTCAATATGATGCTTGTCTGCAAACGAATCGTCACCAAACAATACTTTCATATCACGTCTTTTCAACTGCACAGTCACAGTTACTATAGCTCCAGCTGTATAAACTGTAGTTGCTTCATCATCAATCACTGAATAACAAATCAATAACATTATTTTTATATTTTGAAGAACATACCAAATAATAATTATATACTAGTAAATACCTTCACAACGAACTTTAAAGTCTATATAGGGCATTCTACCCAATACTTTTACCAAATCTTCATACTGACTATCTGATAAAAATTTTAATGTTGCGCGCCTCTCTTCATTTTTTAATTGAGCAAGATGCTGAATACTTCTAACACGTTTCTACAAAACAAATGGCACAAGTAAGAAATTTAGTTGTCACAGCTAATTAAACGACCAACCTTTTTATTATCAAAATGTTTTATGTGATCTTCTGTAATGTATGGTAATTGCATAAATGGACTTTTATACTCCCATAATGCTTGGACTATCATGGGACAAAGTTTCATACAGTTTTCTATGGTTTCAATATTAAGTAAACGAGGCACTAATAAACAAAATAAAATATTTAGATTATACATAGTTACACGCTTCAATACTATTATTAATTGATAATTATTCAAACCTCTCTGAGCATATGCAAGTAAAATTAATTGAGAAACGACACCAACCATTTCTTGTATTAGATATGGACATTTCTTCACAATATACATACGATCTAAATCTAATGTATCTGCCTTAAGTACCAGGCGAGACAGATGTGCATGTATCAAAGCTCTAGCTTTTATTGAATAATTATAGGATAGTGGTGGTTCTTTTTGTGCTTTTTCTCCAAAATTATAAAGTTGTTTAATAAGCTAGAAATAAAATGTATGATGAATAATTAATAAATATACATTTTTTTTAAAATATTTGTCAATGTGAATGAAAAAACAGTAAAAAATTTGTATTATTAAATTAGATATATGTTTATTATTGTTCACAGAGAAATTACATCGGGAGACTTTAATCTAAAACTTCAAGATAAACATTATAAACACATAATGAATAATAGTGGGTTATTTCTAGAAAGATTTTCTCAGGATATATTTATTTATGGTGGCATTCAAATTTTACAACAAAAACATATATTTAGAACAAATTAAATGTCAATGTATTTTTTATATTTATTTACATCTAATAATGAAATATTAATAACTATGCTGTTATGGATTGTAAGCGATATATATATACTGTTATTTAAAAGTTTTTTAACAGTACATAAAAATAACATGGTAGGTATAACAGAGGTGATCAATTTTATGCAATGTAGCGGCAAGACAATAACAAACAATTACTTTAAATTATAAAGGATAATTAGTTGAATTGTACAGGTAATTCTAATTTTAATGATATAACTATTATAATATAATATAAAGAAGATTGTAAAGACTAAATATATAGGCAATTTTAAATGTTAATTTCTTACTTGAGGCATTTCATGTTCATCCGAAGATCTTTCAACAATTTCACTGTTGTATTTTTTTTCAAATTCTAATGAAGCACTTAAAATCATTATAACTCGTTTCAAAGGTATTGAATTTGATTTATGCAAAAAATAATAGTACATCCGAGATGTCTCTAATAAAACCTATGTAAAAATCAAAATAATAATTAAAGAAAAATCAAACTAATGAACAATATTTATATTTTACATAATATAATACTAAAAACATTTTATATACCTTATCTCCAGAGTATCTGATAGACTTATACCACCACATACCAACTGTAGTAGGCAGTGCAATCATAAAAACTAAAGCATAAAGACCTAGGACCTAAAAAAAAAAAGATTAATGCTTTTTATAATTCATAAAATATCATAACAATTCACAATTATTAACATCAAAGATACAGTATCAATAAACTTAAAATATTTTTAAGCATAATTAGGATGTATATTATAAGACATCATAATATATTTAAATGTTTCTACATAGACAAGTTAAAAAGAAATMTAAATTAATCATTTTTTGTATTTAAATAAAACATTATCACAATATTCGTGGTTGCGCATCTAAAAGGGGTGAAGTTATTAAAATACACATTGAAATAATACATTAAATAATGTAAAATGTAAATAACTCATTTTACACAAAATTATGACTTAATCTTTTTTTCACGCGCAGCCACGAATTCACCATACAAATATTGGCTCCCAATATGAGATCTATAAAAAATACAATAATAACATTAAAAAAAAGCGGTTAAGTGGGTATCGCTCTGCTGTACATTTGGTGTGGGGTAGACCTCTGACTAGGGTAGGTTAAATTTGAATGCATTGATAGGTATCGAAAAACGATTCTGAACGGCGACGGTTTATCTGTCTAGGATATATTATAGATTATTAAAAATTTTCAAATATTAGATATTAAAGGAAATTTTTTTATGCATTTCTAGGATAAAAAAATTAACGAATTTTCGTGATTTTTACGTATGTTGTCAAAATTTGAACTGTAAATGCTTATAAAAAAAATTTGTGACTATATATTTCTTGTATTTTTCAACTGCTATTGTAAAAATATGTTAGGAGCCTTGTATTAAATTTTCAAATCTTAGATTTAAAAAGAAAAACTTTTACGAATTTCTATCTAAGATAATTTGAAAATTGCCGTAATTTTTATGTATTAAGTCAAAATTTGAAATTTTAATATTTATAAAATAAAATTGTGCTAATGTATTTTTATAATTTTTTGATCACTATAAGAATAACTTATGAGGAATTTTGTATTAAATTTTCAAGAATTTTGATAGGGCCAAAAAAGTTTTATCGACACTTCAAAAAAAAATTTTCAGAAAAATTGAAAATTTCAGTTGTCTATAAATATCTCAAAAAAAGTCAAAATATTTTGAAAATTAAATCATGTAAAGAAAATGCCAATTTAAATAACTGGTAAAATTTACAAGTATCTACGACTTATACTTTTTGAATAATTACAAATATTTAAAATCGTTTGAGGATAAATCGTTATCCTTACGCTTTTTTGTAAAAATTTAAAATTCAAACGCACTTAAAATTTTTCCTATAATGATGTTTCGAGTTTTCTCTATAGCTACTTGAAGAAAAACTAATAGAAAACTTAGTTCATCACTTCGTTCAGAATCTAAAATAATACGGATTATCCACAAAGCATAATCATATCTCTAAGAAAAGCATCAAAAATATTATCAAATTTATGTAATCCTCGCCATCAATACTCAACTAAGTACAACTCTAAGAGGTCTTCATTAAACATTTTATAGAATTCTTTAACAAACATGTTAAACAAAACTATTTTTCGGATGAAATTTAAAAAAGTAATTTCATCACAAACACTAAACCAATTAACCTGTTGTTAAATAATAAAATATACCGGGTGATTCTATTATCATTGAACACTCATTATTTCAAAAATATTTTTTATCCTTATTATTTTTTAAGTTTTTACTTTTTTGTATGACAACATAGTTTTAACTTCATGTTCCTAAGCAGTATATTTTTCTAAGTATTTTGATTCATAAAAATCAAATTTAGGACGAGTAGTCTATGAGTTAAAGGTATTTAAAGTTTAGATTGGAACAATGGAGTGGTACAAGGTTAACCCGCAAAATGTTTGTCCACTACACCGCTTGTCTAAACTTTAAATACTTATAAAGTTATAACTCATAAAATAATCGTCTTAAATTCGATTTTTATGAATCAAAATAATTAGAAAAATATTCTGCTTTGGAATATGAAATTAAAACTCTATGTTGTCATTCAAAAAAGTAAAAACTTGAAAAATTATAAAGATAAAAAATATTTAAAAATGTAATTTTTTAACAAAAATGTTGGTATTTTAACAACTTGAAACTATGTAAAATAATATTTTCAAAAACATTAATCATTTTTGAAATAATGAGTGTTCAACGATAAAAGAATCACAGGGTATATCATTATAATAAATTAAGATAAAACATTTTTTTTTTATTAAAAATATATTACAATCTGTTTACCCATAAAACAATAAGTAACAATGATGAGTGATTTAAAGAAGACATGTCACACATGAAGAGGAGACTGTYCARTGACAGAAYCTCAGAAAATTTGAGTTCGGGCTTTGAAATTTATTTTATTATTTTATTTTTAATTTTTTTTATTAGATTAGAAGGTCTCTAGCCCAATTTCTTTTTAACCTTCGAGGAATATTAAGAAGTAGTGTGAGAGAAGACATGTTTTTGATAAAGGGGTTAGAATGATTAATTAATTTGGAATGGAATTTTTTATAGTAGCTTTTAGCAAGTTCATTAACTGTTGGAGTTTTAGGTCGTTATGGAGAGCTGAATTTGTGATATACCACGGAGAACCGGTTAAGAGTAAGATAAAACATATGAACATTTTAAACATGAACATGTTCAGTGGGGCCCATTATCTTCTTGAAGATTAAATAAAAATATAAAATGATAGGTAATAAATGATGATGAGGGATTCCTATCTTTAGATAGAACACATAAAATTATTAGACCACATACTATACTCATAATTAGTCACAAAATGGAGGTAAACCGCATACTAGAAGATAGCCCAATTATTTAAAGATGCTAATTATTATTAATGTAACTGATATATAATAATAATTTTTACCCAAACGGAATTTTCTTTTTCTACAATCCACGATGGTAATGCTATTCCAAAACTCATTGCACCAGGTCCATCTGGATTTCCATATTTTTCCCAATTTTTCCTGGACTCATCATCCGTTAAGGCTTGATAAGCTAAATGTATTCAAAATTAAAAAATTTATTAAGGTATACATACTTAATATTATCAATAACAAAGATGTGTCCCCTTGGAAGATATAAATGTTAAGTTGAAAAAGAAAGCATTTTTAATTATTTAAAATAATATATCAAATAAGAGCATACAATAATGGTCAGTTATTGGACCAGCAGTTAATTTAATTATTCCAAAAATGGACTCTTAACAGGCTGGCATTATATCATTAAGCATGTATTCTCTCTCAAAAAAGTTTTCTATCAAACTTAAGTGATGAGTGGATTAAATTAAAACATGTTTCATAAAAAATAATAATAAATACCTAGTTTTGGTTTGACATAATATTTAATATGTAGTAGTTTAAATTAATATAATATATTCTGAAACTAATTGATTAGTTGTGGTATATTTTTCAATATTTGTAATAAACTGAACGATCAAATTATTTATATGCCAATTGTTTATGAAGAATATGAAACTACTAATATACTTATTTTAAAATATGACTATTAATTTTTACCTTTTGTAAGCTTCATGAATTTTTTTTCATCACCAGTTTCCTTATCTGGATGGTAAATTAATGATAACCTTCTGTAAGCTTTTTTAATTACTTTTTCACTAGTTCCCTTTATTATTAAAAAAAAAAAAAAAACAATTTTAAAATAAAAATAAAATATTTAATAAAATATAAAAATATACTTACAATGGGAACATTGAGAATGTCATATGGATCAAAACTTGCACTCTCATAATCAAACTGAGAAACTTTGTAGGCGAGAAAAGCTAACAACACCCAGCCAGCAATAATTATGACTTTACTAAAATATGTATTAAATTCAATATTTAATCAACCATAAAGTATCTTCTTAAAATGCAACCATCTTAATTATTGTTATGATAAAAAAGCAGAACTTTTTTCATAAAGGTTTTAGTTTAAAATTTTGAGGTACATATAAAAAATCATAACTCAGAATAAATTTAATTATATTTTTACTATACTATAACAATTATGTTAACCTGAGCTCTATAGCTTTTAGAACAGCAATGTTGGATAGGGGCTCAGATAGATCACAGGATGGTTATTTAATATTCAAAAAATTAAAAACAAAGAATTTGATATGTATTGAAAAAAAAAGGAAATTAGTGTTTTCTATAACTTTTCAGAATATTTTGCACACTTAATTATTAGACCAATATCAAGAAAAACTCACGTGAGCGTCCTCTTCATCAGTTCCCACGGTTTAGTGGACTGCAGGATGAGTTTTTTTTTTCGACATCCTGGACAATAACATTCAGACGCCAACGCTTTTGGATCTAAAATTCAAACAATAAACAATAATTAAACGATCCTCGTTGATCATGACCGCAATTAACGATCATGATTACCTTCTTTCTGTTTTCTCGGCCACCAGTAATACGTGCCGGGGATTAGCAGAAGAGCTAAAAACGACAATAGAAAATAGAAAAATGTCGCTCCGCTTTCGTCATACTGGAACTTTTGGCCAGCCATTATTGTTATTTCGGTTCTGACATAAATCGAACATTTACTCCAGGATCATGGTGCGGTCACGAGTTAATTTACATACTTTGAATAATCAAAATATTGGCCTGCGATGACACCGATTACTGATAATCAAATGGTACACTACGTTAATAGCAACGTATTACACTTAAATGTTTGTAATACGTTACACGTCACGTAAACTTCACGACGATAAAAAAAATATCAACCAGGTGTAAAGACAAACGTATGCACGATAAATACTAGAGTTGATACGACGTATCGCTGTTATGACCAATGGTTGAAGTCCGATGTCCCCACTCACCACCAAGTCATTTGAGTCCTTCTCAAAATGTAAATCATATGATGTGATCAAGGAACAATATAGTAGTAGTGGTAGTAGCACAAAATAGATTAAATAGTAGTAATAACAATAGTAGTATGTATATATACATGTAACTTTGTGTACATAATATTATGTTATATATGAATATATATATATATATATATATATATATGTATTTTATTCACGGCGCTCCTCGAACGATGTTGATAACCGTGATTATCATTTTCTGCGGTGTGTGATAAAATAATGATAGCACTCGCACAGTCGCACCATCGTCACGAAATATTTCCTGGATTAGAAAACTCGCAGTGATGTTTTTTATTGTTCTTCCATGAGACATGGTCAATATCAGTAAGTTGGTCACTGTCCCAACCCGCATTAGAAAATCACTGTTCACGGTTACGTCGTTACGTGTATTGTGATTCGAGGGCGAGGGGTCCGGTTGGTAACACCGGATCGAGAACGATTTTAAATAAGTATTCGCGCTGATCGCCCGACTCTAGTCTGTGTACTGTACTGTGTTCGCCATCATTTCTGATTCGTGCTTGCTCGAGTTGCTCCCGGCGCTCCCGCTCCCGTCCGTTCAGTACGTTATTTTGTCCGTGCGTGCGTGCGTGAGTTTGTGTGTATGTGTGTGTAAAAGACTTGCGTCGTTCCGTTACCCGTGTGCGATCCGATAGAGAAGCCATTTTGTTCCGTTCTCAAAAACTCCTCTCTTCGTTCCGGGTATTTTTCACAGACACATCACGCCTGCAGCCCATTTAGCCGTCTCAACGAATCGGTTTCTCTGTGTTCGCAGACGTCGTTGGTGTCGCGCGTACGTCGAACAACGCCATGGCTTGCGCCACGCTGAAACGGTCGTTGGATTTCGAACCTCCCATGTGCAGACCGACCAAGAGACAAAGATGCACTCCTATGAGCATATCGCCCTCGAGCTCTCCCCCAAACAGCTCTAGATCCGAATATGTCTCGCCCCATTTCGGGGGCGATGTTATACCAAAAATCACGGCAGGTAAAGAGAACGAATTTATTTATGTCTCATTAACGCCGTTTGAATCAGTGTTTAATAATTATTATTATTATCATTGTCGCTGCGATATCGATGGCGACATGGTTTGCTATAAATAAAAACAATTCATATTGGTTGGCAGTTGTCGTCCGAACGTATGTGACACACGATTTCGTATTTTAATTTTAAACGTGAATATTCAGTGTAGGTACAGTGTCACTAGTGTCATACCTGGTATTGTGTTCCAATGGTGTTGATTAACGCCTATTGCAGGTTTATGTTATTAGATGATGAATAATGGTTTTCCGGCATGCACCTTTACACCTTGGCATTCATGACATCGATACTAGATATTCCTAATAAAATATGATGGCACCTACTTTACTCAATTTCTAATAATATAGATAATCTGCATAATTTATCGTTGTGTAATAACAGATTTTTGAAATGACTAATTTGTTTATTTCATTGTTATTTTAATTGCCACTTGATCTCATATTGTGTTAAAGATGTGACTTTGTGACACAGTAATGTAATTAGTCACATAACCATATGACTGAATTAAGACTTATTAAATCAACTTTTTTTTTCATACTAGGGATATTTTGATACGTATTAAAAAAAAATACTTTGGTAGTCACTGCTTTAATAATGGCTCCAAGATAATGTATGCGAATAAACTTAAAATTGTTTTTCTTAGAATTAACAATATTTAGAAATTAGACAAGTAGAACACTATGTATTTACCGATTCCAATTAGGAATATACTATAATATACTACCATAATATTAAAAATTAATAAAATTGGTTTGGCAATTTTCTTTAACCATTATTTTTTCAGCAATACAATAGTGTTTCTAGTATATTTTCTGTCAGATTCAGTTTCTCAAAAAATTTACTTCACAAATTTAACAATTAAAAATTTGAGTCTATGTCTAAATAAATCAAGTCATAATTTCATATTAATAGTTGTTTACCTGGGTCTGTTTAAATTGTTTGTTATTCAGGCAAATTTCATATTTTAAGGGACTTGTTAATGGAGTTTTTTTTTAATTTATTGCCTATCTACTTATATTTATGTGATTGGAAATTTAATAATTTACTATTCCTCTTATACCTAATTAGTGTGTGTATTTACCTACTATATATATATGTAATATAATGTAATGTTACACCTCAAATGTGAAATTATCAATTCATATTAAATCTATTATTATTTTTCCATTTCTCCAAGATAATTTAAAATGTACCTAATTATCTTAATTATGGAATCTATATATAACTTAATGTGTTTGATATTTGTTACAAAAACACGAATACATGAAAAAAAAGCTATAACATAAATGAAATAATAATCGAGCAGTCGTTAATAAAAATATATACCTATTGCAACCATTATATAATTTAAGATGCTTTTATAATTGAAAGTTAAATAACATTCAGGTTTGTGTGAAAAGCTGTTTGAACATGAAATTTAAGACATAGATAACAAATACAATTATTTTGAACTTAGTAGATACAGATTTAATGCTTATTGAATTTGATACATAACCATAGGCGCACATAGGGTGTGAATTTAGGGGGTGCTGAAATAATTTATAGTACACAGACCCGTGGTGAGCGAAGCCCCCCACTACACCACCCTAATACTATAATAATTGCATTGCAATAATTATAAATTTTATTMAAAATAAAAATAAATATTTTGTAATTATATTAAATGTTATAATAACATGTAATCATTAATTATTAATGTTARACAAAATTTAATTTTCTGTTTGATATTGCAAATGTTTGCATTATAATTTCCCCCTCTATTTTATTGGTAAGATCTCTCTCAATGCTAAGCGTAGATAGCTTGGTAAATCTTTCTATCTTTCTTGGCCCATATTGGTGCGTAACCAGTTTTTCAATCTMCGCATAGCTGAGAAGRARCGTTCACACGTTGACGAAGAAATTGGAATTGTTATTCCCAATAGCTTACAGACATTTGGAAACAAACTTTTATAACATTGATTTTTCATGCCTTCATATATAAAGCTGGCTGGTAGACTATTCATTAAAACCATAATTTCTGCTGATAAACTAACTGTTGATATTTTAAAAATATCCTGATATATATAAACAGATTTATATAATAATATTTCAAAAGATATGACTATGTAATAAATATTTTAAATAGTTTATGCGGTGCTAATTTTAAACCTGGGAGTGCTAAGCACCCCCAAGCACCCCCCTATGTGCGCCTATGTACATAACCAAGAATGCATAGTCAATTTCTAAAAAGTTGATGTTGGGTAACATGATGAACTGATGAATATACAAAGGGATATAAAATGGTTAGTTATACTAATTTAGAACTACAAGTTTTATCAGTAGAGTCATTATATAATTATTGATTGTGAATTTTAATTCATGGCTTATCTTAAGAATAGCAGTTTCAACCTACTATTTGCGGTAATTGAGTGTACCTACTCGTACTAAGGAATAATATGATAAGATAACTACCTTTAAAATTGAGAAATTAAGCCATAATATTTTTGTCAATGGTTAATATATTACCTCAAACTACATATGTACGTAGCGAGTATCTATAGGTTTCAAACTATTATAATGCTATCATTTAAACATATTAATAAATATACAATTCTGTTCTAGGAAATAAAAATTAAAAGTTGACATGATATTTTATTTTATAAATAGGTAGTTTTAATATTGAACAATTGTTATATATCATGTCAAACCTTCAAAAACATCATTCTCTATCATTTTTATTATATACCTACCTATTATTTTACTTTAAAATTACCTAATAGAAAGTCTTAATGATAAATACGATCTTACATGAATGGATTTCCTGTGGGTCTGAAAGTGAAAACAAATATTACACTTACATAAATTGGTAAAATAACCTCATTAATAATTAATATATTAACATGAAAATTAATGATGATAACTACACCTATTGTTTGTAGTATTTGGAATTTAAGTCTGCTATATAATATATTTCAATTGGTTATGATTTTAAATCACTTACTGTTGGTATTTCTATGTTACAAAAGAAATTTAACAACACTGATATTTAAATTCAGAGTGTTTACCTAATTTATTTATTAAATTTAAATTTATGATGTCTATAAGTTCTTATGTGAGCATTTATATTCTGGTTTTATATGTAGATATTATTTAAATTTTTTTCCATTTTTTTAAACATCTTAAAAAGTTTTGACATATAATGTTGTATCTAACTGTAATAACACTTTAATTGCAATACTCATAAAATGTGTAGCTACCTACAAAAATATAACAAATCTCATTAATCATATTATTACCCGTATTATTATGAATTTGAGGATTAAATAGAATTTTGATATAACTTACAAAATAATCTTGAGAATAAACAAAAATATTTATGCACATATTAGAAGCTTAAAATGTTAACCATTATTATCAACCTAACTTTTTATACATTTCATAATTTTTGTCGTGTTTCTACAGATTTAATAAATATCTACAGTGAAATCTTCTTTAACGGACACCTCCAAATAACGGACAGAATTTTGGGAACGGTGAAATGTGTACTCACTGTATTTCCCCTCTTAATAGCGGACAGTGTTTAAGCAACCGGGAGTGTCCGGTATTTAGATGTTTCACTGTATTACTTATACAAATTATCTTATTCAATGTTATCATTTACTTATAGGTGCCTGTTATTCATTTAATATTGGCTTTATGATTTTAAATATTCCCACATTTTGACATTTACGTACAAATATTATAATTCCTGTTATAATTATATAACAATATAATTTGTACTATTATTAAAATTCTAAGCCATTATATATATTAGGATATAATCTTCAGTTGATAAATACTGATTTCTGAAAGTTACTAAAAGTTATTTACCTAACTAAGTATTTTAAATCCAAAACAAAACATCAAAAAAACCCTTAAATATTTCATCTCTCAATAATATTTATATTAAATTGATTAATATTAAAATCTTTTTTATAGAAATGTTGTCTGCTAGTTTAACTGAAGAAGTTCAAAGGATGCGTCGTAAACGTCAACTTAACATGGAATTATCAGAGAATCGTAATTTGGATGATAGTTCTTCAGATAGTTCATCTGAGAATACATTTCCATCATCAGCCAAAGACAAGCCGCTCTTCACTTTTCGCCAAGTATTATATTTAATAATTATTAAGTTATTTGATAAGGATTAAAAGAAAAACAGTAACAGTATAGGTATCTATCTACAATTTACAGTAGTTAATACTTGATGAAACTATTACACAATTATACGCTTTGGTTTTTAAATTTTCTAACATATTTGGGCACCTACCGAATTCATTTTTTTTTTCTTAATTTTTTGTAATGATTTACTTTAATTAAAATTTAAATATTAGCATATGAATATATGATAAATACAACACTGGAAAGGAAGGGATTAAGGATAAGTTGACGTGAAACAGAAACGATTGTGTATAAATTTTGAGGATGTAATCCAGAAGATGACATTACAAAATAATAATGTTTTACATTAGAAATAGGACTACGAGTGCAGTGCACAGGTATTTTGTGAAAAGATACAGTTAAGATAAAAAGTTAGATTTTCTATACCAGATTTGAATTTTTTGAGTTGTTGACCTATGGATTTAAAAATTTGTCAGTGAACAGAAAAACTGTTCGAAATCTAAATTGTATTAACATAAATAATAATGTTTAAGTAAGTGGTTGCCAACTAATCAATCTCAAAAATATTGGTTGATTGTATTTAAGATAATTTATTCCAATATTAGTTAATCATCTATATAATCTTAAACACACTTTTTAACGCGTTATATACAAAGTAAAGTATTTATAATAGCAATGAAAAACATACAATTTTCCGATTGAAAATAATATTAAAGGAAGAATATTATTTGATACTTACACAATTAATATATTTACCTTAATAGGTAATAGTATTCTCCAGATACTTAAAAATTTCAATATAGCTCACTTGTAAAAGGTTTGGTGATCGCTGGTTGTAGGCTGATGTGTTAAGTGACTAGAGAGGATTTAATGAGATAGAAACTTGATAAGAGTGGTGTAAAAAAGGAGCCAATTATCAATAAACTGAGTTTGGATAGGTTAAGATAGTTGTGTTATGATGATCGGTATCTTGGGGATAGTAACAGTGACTATATAAATAAAGAAATATAGGAAAAACTAACAAGAAGAGATGGATATGCAGAATAGAAAATGATTCATTAATAATATGTGGTGTGAGTGAAAAAAGAGATTTAAGACATCTACTGTCAATAGCAGCTGTCCTCATATTGTTAGAGCCTATGGCATAGCAAAAGAAGATGAAAAATACAAAACACAATTTAATAAGTACAAAATTTTACGAGTAACTTTTTTTTACCAATTTTTAAATTGTGTATAATACAAACAACATATTGCAATATTGTAGCATTCTCTAAAATTGAAGTTTTAATGAATTGTTTAACTCTTGTCTTAAGGGTTTACCTACCATTATGCGATGCTATTTATTGTGTTAATTTTTAAGCATTGAACTATTAATATTTAGTTTATATTTTTAAATTAAATACTAGTTTTTTTTTTTTTTAAATCTTCTTACTTACCTACTGGCCACATACTAAACATTTTTTTTTTTTTAGGTAGGAATGATCTGTGAACGTATGTTAAATGAACGGGAAAGTCAATTACGTGAAGAATATGATAAGATTTTAAACATGAAATTATCTGAACAGTATGAAGCTTTTGTGAAGTTCTCCAATGATCAATTGCACAGACGTTTTGAAGCAGCTGAGGATCCAAGCTGTAAGTTAAATATTGTTGATAATAATTGTGTTTTTCTTTGTTGATGTATTAAAAATTATTATTCAAATACTCTTTAAGCTTAGATAAAATTTAAAACTAGTACATTTATTTTCACAATACATCATTTTTGTCAATAATTATCCATTATCTTAATATTATAAAGATATTTTTATTGTGGGGACAAAGTGGTTGAGCGGAATTAGGCAACTACCCATACTAATGGTATAACTTATCTAGTCCTAACAGTTTAAACTGTTTAAAAAATATATATAATATTATCAAACCAACCTAATTTTCTAGTTTTCTGGTTACAATAGTATTTTGTGTGGCAAGGCTGGAAATGATGTTCCAATATTAGATAACTTTCTTTTGTGCACAAGCCATACTACTATTTTTTGTCCTACCCCTATTGGTATTACAGTGGTACTTAATGAACTGTTCTCTGTATTTAGGTTCATCAAATCGTTTCATGGAATAACAGGAGTAACTCACCTACCAGATAGTATTGATATAATTGATAAAACTATAGATTTGGTTATTTAAATTAATCTGATTAAATGAGTAAACATTTTGAAGACTTTCTAAAGAAGGTGGGAAAATGCTCTAGAGCCCTCACATACTGCATTGATAGCAATGGGATAAACAACTGGCATAAACATTTTTAATTTTTTTACTCCAAACTTCTGAATACCTATTTCAGTTCTAGACTTTTAATCTTATTTTTTTTATTTATAGGTTTTAAATTTATTAAATTACTTCTGCCAAATTTTAGTTAAAGATAGTATTTCATTATAGATTAACCACTTAACTGGGCCCTCACACAACTCTTATAATTGGGACCTAGTAATTCATATGTATATAAATTTAAAATAAAATAAACTGTTATAATAACTTTCAAATGATATCATGATATAAGTAATTTTAAATGATAAATTATTTGTTAAGATTTATAATGTATAAAATAATTGATTTATTGTTTTTAATTTCAGATTTGTCTTAACTATAATACAACTCCAAGCGATGGTTTTGAATTTACAACAAAATTTTAGACGCACTTAATAGACAAAATAATTATTCAGCCTTAAGTCAACAATCGACTKACTAACAATGTTTTTTTATGTATTATACATTTTTGTAAACTCAATATTATTAAAGTAATTTAAAATATATGAATTTCATGATAATAGTAAAAGAGTAATAATTAATTTAAGTAATCATTAAGCTAAGATTGTTTTGTTTGTTTTATTCTTTTTATATTGTGTAACTAAGAATGTTGGATATTGGCTCAAAATCATATTAAAATTTAAAACTGGCTTAAGATATCTCCCTATTCTATTTAATTATTATTAAAAATATATATATACACAATTTTGTGACATATTTTCAGTTAAACTATAATAATTATAAATTGTAAATGATTTATTTATGTGAACAAATATTTTTTTTTTTCTCAAACTCAGTTAAAATTTCATTTAGTGGCTTAACACTACTTATTATTAGAGCTTGCCATTCTGATTTGTACGACTGAATTAGATGACATTATATATATATATATATATATTTCAAAAGTCTCCAAATTTTATAAAAATTAAAATTTTGGTTACGCCACTTCCAAAGTACTAATGTTTAAGTTATTTTAAAGCGAGTTGTTTGAGCAAGATGAAAGAAACAGTTCACTTTACACTGTAGCTTGTTCATTCAAAAAGATCTCGCACTTTATTCTTATGATATTGTAATAATTATTAAATATATATATATTATAAGTAAAGGTATATTATATATATATATATAGATTTTTTTGTAAATGATAAGTAAAAGTTATTTTTTCTATTAGGGCAACATGTAAATTATTTTGTTGGGAGAAAATACTTGTATAATTTAGTTTATAATACAAATTAATAATAAAAAAAATTTAATTAAAATATCAGACTAATTAGTAATTGTATTATATTTGCTTTTTTTTAGACTTGTGAAATAAGAATTATAGACTATGTTTGTGTTTCTTATACTCATAAGGTCATCCACAATGTTAACCCGAAATCAAGTTTATTAACAGTGTACTATACTCTGCCTGGTATAAATATTTTTATTTTAATAATTAAAAATAAAAATACTGTCTTATTGTCTAATAATTATTTGAAAATTGTTATATTTTTATGAAAATACAAGCATTTAATCTAAAAAACTTGGTTACAATTTTGAGGAATTTTTTAATTTATTGTGTTTGTCGACTGAGCTATTCTATATATATTATAAATTTATAATCTTCAGTTCAATTCACTGAGGTCTTGTTTCCAATATACATATGACATATTATTATAAATAATATTTTACTTACTATATAATTTTTTTTAACTCAAGTATTAACTGTAAAATATTAATTTTTTTAATGATTTATTCATAGAATAATTTTCATATCTATTTGTAGATTCATAACATTAATTTTAAACATTTAAATTTTATCAAGAAATATAGCTMATCAATTACAATAGTAGTTAATTTTCTAATAAATATTATTAAATCGTCAGTACTGTACTGTTTCTCATTATTTGAAATGATATTGGAAACAGCATAATTTCGAGGTGAATAACTATGAATTATGGTTAACTTGACTCGGGGACTCAAGTTTTATAATCATTTATTATTGTAATCAAAACATTTGATTTAGGTTTTAAAAGATTTGTCATGGATACTGGACTCCCATAAGTCACAGTCTCACTTTCCATAGCCACATATTTAAAATACCTGTCCTACAAGTATACAATTTTTAAGAAATGTTTGTGACGTTTGTGTTCATTTTTATGATGATAACGAAAATGGTAAACATTGATAATGCACCATATATGATATCATCTATTATCAAATATTAATCAATTCTTGAGTATTGGTGCCGGTGGGTGAGCTATTTGGATGAAATAACTTAAATAAGGTTTAACTTGTAAGTTGTAGTTACCTGTCCGGGCTGTCTCAAATTCGCGCATCTTCGTACTTTGAAGTGTCGTACATAAAAACTTTTGAACTGGCCTAACATACCGTTGAAAACACTGCACATACTCAATTTTTTTTGCTCAAAAGGTAAAGCAAGAATTATACTTCTCTGTAACTTAAAAACTTGTAGGTACCTTTATAATATTATCTTGACATTTATCTATTATTGGTTATGATCTGTGCTGTAGTATTATAATGGCTTTGCGATTCATAAAACGTACTTACAATCGAATGTTTCTCGCAAAGGACCCGATGCCACCTTATGCGAGCCATGTGGTACAAATTGGTGATCCAGTGCTGCGAAATAAAGCGTCCCCAGTCCCTTTAGAGAAAATTGGGACCAAAGAAGTACAAAATGTAAGAATATATGGTGAGCAGTAAACATTTAAAAAATGTGTTTTCATTGTTGTGAATAGACATTTTATGAATGTGTACCAAACTTTATTGTGCTGAAAGTAGTGATTATTTTATTGTTTAGCTTATTTTCATTATGAAATCACTGATGAAAAGATCAAATCTAATTGGCTTGGCTGCACCTCAAGTTGGTATACCATTTCAAATATTTATTATTCATTTTCCACGTCCATCCCATTATTTCAGCAAAGAAGAAATATTACTTAAAGGAATGGAACATATTGAAAATCAAGTTTGTTAAAAATTGTATCAGTGGAATAGTATAAACTTTGAACTCAAATTTGATTAATGAGGTCTTAATATTGTAGGTTTGGATAAATCCTGAACTTAAGGTTTTGGATCACGAAAAAGTCACATTCAACGAATCCTGTGCAAGCTTTAAGGGTTATTCAGCAGATGTACCTAGATACAAGCGCGTGCTCCTAACAGGTAAAATTATATCATATTTATCCTAGATTTCAGTGTGATTTAATTTTAATAATTCAACTTAGGAATTGATGAAAATGGAGAGAAAAAAACTTTAGATGCAAAAGAATGGACTGCTCGAATAGTTCAGCATGAAATGGATCATTTAAATGGAGTGATGTACAGTGATCGAATGGTGCTTAATACCCTATGTTGCACAGGATGGCATACTATTAATCAGTATCAAGGATTTGTAGAACTTCGGTATGAAAATTAGGAAAATTGTAAATTTTCAAATATTCAAGAATCCATTGTCTTTTTTATGGAAATAAACAAGAATTGTTTATTACCTAGTTAATATTTTTGTATAATAAAACTTCTTGTCCATAACTGACTATTTAATTTTTACTACCTTGTTATTTTAGTAATGTTTTTATTGCATTTTATCTTTAATAAAGCATGTTACAACTAGGTAGTAACTTTAAATGAATTTAATTAATGTAAGACCTTAGATTCATGCATTTATATTTGATTGGAAAATACTGAGGATATTTAACATTTCTAAACTAGACCTTAATTGTCTAAACTACTATCTGAATAGATTGGACATACCGATCCAATTTTGGATGTCAATTCTATGCCAATTAAAAATTAAATTAACATAGAGACAATAGAAATTGGTGGTGATTTAGCGATAAGGATACCAAAGGGTGTTAATGTGAAAATAATAATTATGATTTTGGATTCGGGGAAGATATAATTAAGGAGAGCCTGTATTCTTAGATAGTAATAAGTTTAAGAGTGGATAAAAGTGAAATTAATGGGGTAATAAGGGAAATTAATTGTGTAACAATTTGAGATAGAATATTTGATATAGATTCATTATTAGCAACGTTTGAGTTGCTTGAAGTTGCTTATGCGTATGTCTTGGCCCTGGATTTTTCTTTGTATCAGATGTGCGTGGACTGGAGTTCCACTCAAGGGCGCCCGCAGAGGGACCATTGCCCCTACTAAGAATATTTTAAAACTATTGTTAATTTAATGCCACGCTTATTAAAGACATTGTTAAAAAGCAAAAATAAAAAATTATTGAAGATGTTATGCAATCATTTGGTATACAACAAAGACGCATACGACTTTTGTTTGATAATTAATATAAATATAATATAACCTAATTAATTTGTAACATCTACATTAACATACCTATATTCAAAAAATATTAATATTGTATTGTAAACAACCTACACATATAAGAGACTTATGTGATGACATAATGTTGTTTTTTTTTCTATTTAGGTTATGCTATTTTAGAATGATGACAATAGAAATATATTAAAATTTAAAATATTCTTTTTGATTTTTGGTTTTAGAATTTTGATCTTGCCCCGGGTGGGATTTTATCTTGCGGGCGTGCTTAGCTCCACTGTGACTGGCAATACCCCCTTAGAGGGCACTAATGGTGGTACAGGTGGCGTGATCTTGAGGTGGCCATTCTTATTTGATTCTTATGATATAGGTGTAAGGTGTTCAAAAATGTCTTTAATGAAGGACAACCTTTTTAGTTCGCGGTATTTTGCGTCAGAACATGACACAACGTGGTACCTAATTCACTTCTACAGCAAGAGCGAGTGTGACCGTATCGCTGACATTGTTTGCATTGAGCAGGGTAACGGGATTGATGCGTTTTTTCGACAACTATTTTGGAGCTAAGGAGGTAGGATAATTGGAAAATGCTCCGGTTAAAATCCATTGCTTCCAGGACAACGGTGAATAGTGGTAGGAGCCTGTTTGCTAATTCGGTGGCGGACGTTTGGCACACTTATGATTGAAAAGCCCAAATCCCGGAGGGCCTTCTCTATAATCTTCAACAGGAATAGTATGGTGCGGATTGCGGATAAACATTTTGAAATGGCGGATATGACGGGGTGCCCACGTATGGCATTCTAAATCCGAATCGTTGCAGTGATCGACAAGTTAACGGTAGCCATAAAAATTACGAGGTTTGATGATTAGAGATGAACCCTTGGTGGTAGCCGTGAAGCCATCGGTACCCACCAGAGATATAAAATCTGCTTTCAACGAGGAGTAGTTAGTAACATTGATTATGACAGTTGACGGTGCCGAAATGATGGAAATGTATTAAAATGGAAATGTTACGAGCATGCCATAACCTCATCGACATTTCCATCACCGGCGTGATTTTAGGGTGGCGTACTATGTTCATGTTGAGCCGAAGGTGAGATTGTGACAGGAGAGGGACTAAAAACCTCGGGGAGGTTATCAACCACGGATATAGGGGAGCGAACCGATTTGACGTCACATAAGTTTTGCTTTTCTTTAGACTTGTATTATCGAGATTTGACGAAGAGGAGGACGACAACATCCGTTTGGTTGACTTCTGTGTAATGGAGCGGGACGGGTCTGAATGATATTATATCATAATACTAAATTACCTATCAGGTAATACCACTACAGTAATGTTGGATTTTAAACATTTTTTTTGTTTGGTAGAAACTAGAAATTGATTTTAAAAAAAAATTTTTATTTATTGTATTTTGTACAAAGTTATTATAAAATAATTTTATCTGTATAATACAGTAGGTAATAATTACACATTATTAAATATTATATTAAAAATAAATTCATAATAGTTATGTTTCGATAACAATACTTTCAGAGACAAAAGTGTTCAAAGTTAATTAAAAAAAACTAGGAATAAGTAAAACAAATAAAATTGTTTAATTCAAATTCACATATATTAAATATTAATTAATTTCAAATGTAATAAGAAAATTGGTTAGTTGACTAATACATATCATTTTCAATAGTTAATTTAATCATTTAAAAGTCTTTTCTTCCAACCATGGTCGTAGTATTGGCAATGTCGATGGATAATGGGTCCCAAGTTTTCCATCAAATGATCCATTTTCTGTTCTAAACGGATAAGTACCCATCATAATAGGAAGTTGTAGTTTTACATCCTTTTCCATGTTATTCGGAGATATAATGAACTATAAAAATGTACAAAAATTGATTAGTAATATTATTTTTATAATTTGTTATATTAATTATACAGTGTGATCACGATAAGTGGAAACACTCRATAACTATGTGCAGGCTTCATATATTTCAATTCTGCTTTTTCGGCTAACTAATAAACATTATTATACACATTTTCAAATAATTAGACTATTTTTTTGACACTTAACTTTGCGCATGCGCACAATAACTTTTTTTTTTAAATGGCATGATCCATTTTTGACCACAATTTTTTTTTTTTGGTATTTTTTTATGAAGTTTAGTGGTTGAATTTCTTTTCTAAGTCAAAAAATGACCGAGTTATAGCAATTTGATTTTACGTTATTTGCACGGGTATAACAGATTATAAAGAAACTTTTACTAATGAATCATGATAAAAAAAAATTTAACCTTGATTATTCTTTTTTCACAATACGATTCCACTTACATAAATATCATATTGAATGTTTATTAGATGACACCCACGGAGGTTAGTAGGCGGCAGTGGTGGCACGTAAAGTTGTTCATTGTGCCATTGGTCCATTTCGTTTGGTCTGATTTTGTCTCTTTTCAACGAAGCCAATTCTCTGGTCTCCGATTGTATTATTTTACTCTTGGCAAAATACTGAATGGTCTAAAATGTTTAATATAAACAAATTAACAAATATAAGTTTAGTTGCTCATGATGCAAAGCTGGGCATTAATAACTAGTTAATAAGTTAAAATAATTTAAAATAGTCAATTTTTTTTTTTTTACTTTTAAACTTGAATAGTTAGTTTATTTTATAATAAACTTATGAACTTCACTAGTATAATTGGCAGTTGAAATAACTTTTCACAGCTGATTTAAAAATAATACATCGATTTAAAACATTTAAAAATTTTCGTTTATACGTATATTTTAATATAAAATAAACAAAATCTAATTCTATAATAATGCACACAGAATTTTCTTTTTCTTTATTAAATAATTTTATATATTGATATATTTTATTAGATTAGATAGACACAGTCACTTTTTATGTAATTTACTTACTAATTAAAAAAATATACCTATATATATATATATATTACCTAACTTATTTTGAATGATGAGTTATTAATATTTTTTTTTAATTTATCGAGTTGAATTTATAATTTCTTAACTCTAAACTTTTAACTTAATGATCATGTGTCTTCTTAACTTGACTTTAGTTAAATATTTCCATTAACTTTCCTACCTTTATCAGGATGTAATAAACATATCCAACCTTAGTCGAGAATTGGTATAAAAAGTATTAGAAAAACTTAATAAATGTTAATTTATATTTATAACCCCCACTCCCCCCCCCGATAATATTATATACGCCTACGCATTCAACAATATGTATTAATGTCTTCTAGATTTATAGCGAATAAGTAAAAAACATTGTTTATGTTACAATACCATTGGCTTATCAAAATGTTTAGATTCAGAGCGGATCATTGGTTTTACAAGATTTAAATATCAATAATTTTTACAACGAAAAAAATTATTGACAATCTGCAGTAATATTGAATGTGGTTTCTGGTAGCGAACTGAGTCTAATTTCTACATTTGGGAGGTGTACAAGAAGTAAAAAATGTCACAGGTAATATTCAGAGAAATGAAAAACAAGAATATATAGGTAATATTCTTATTGCGATTTTGATTTTTGAAAAAAATCTAACATAATTTTATTTTTAGTTGTACCTAATTCATAAACGAAAACTTTGAATTTTCGCCTAGGTTCAATAATATATGTTTTATATTTCAGAAGTAATTATGTTATATTTGTTGAATTTAAAAAGTAACTAGTTACAGTAACGGCCTATATTTTATATCTGCCTACTTTTATAATAAAATTGCAAAGTATTTCAAATACTATAGTTAGACTCCCCCCATTTTGAGTAGCCGAAGATCAGACCTAATAATTGATTTTGGATTAAATATCATATTTATTCGATTAAACAAATAATACGTATATTTTTGTAAATTAAGCATAAAATATATTAAAAAATTAATATTTATGAAGGCATTATTTTTAAATATCTTAAATTGTTACAAATTTCATAGTTATTTTCCCTTCAAATCATGGTAGTATCTACTATTAAGAAATCTGTGATATTCATATTTTATATTCTATGATCTGATTCAATTATATAGTTACACGATGACATTGATAACTTTATCTCATAATTTTTTGTATGTATTTTGGTTTTGAACTTTTTGGTATTAACGAGTTACCGAGTCGGTTTCAGAAGTATGGTTACTGGTTACTGTAAAAATTAAATTGAAAACTAATGTACAAAGATAATTGGAAGCTTTTATGCTTATGGCTTCGAACAAAGATATTTTTAGTAATATAGATTTTAACCAAGTAAAATTGAACTATTGAAAAATAAGTGTTGGTAAATAGCTAAGTTATTAAGGGTGCATAATATACTTAATTATAAAAGTTATTTTAATTAAAATATATTTATGTATTAAAAATTTGATTATTATTACTTTATTAAATTATCTAATCAAGAAACTGACGATTTGGACGATTATGGAGAAAACTGTCAATCGTTTTTATGCAGTAAAGACAAGGTAAATATTGAATGTATTATGAACAGTTGCAGGAGAAATAATAAAATGTATTTAGTATTTATACAAAAGTATTAGAACATTAAATGAAAGTTTAAATTGAACGTCTATTAGTTACAAAATACTTAAGGATATTTTCTGTATATATTTTAAAATTTAATAAGAGTAAACTTCAAGTTCAAATTTGAATAGGTTAACCTTATGTGACCAAGCAAATTTCGAAATTTAAGTAAAATAATGACCTTTTTTTTGGGGGAGAGTTACATTTGCGGTATATGGGATGGTCTGATCCATATTTTCTGGGCCCGAAAAATTCACCAACCCACCTATGTGGCTGCAGACTGCGATCATTTTACTATAAACTATCCACATCTTGGTTAGTATTTATTTCAATGATTTTCTCAATGACGGAATGACGAGGGTGTAGCCCAGTGGCGTGTCATACATATTGTGTGCGATGTGTGCAAATGCCACGGGCTCTCGGCTTGAGGGGGGCCATTATTGTTCAACGTTCCACAAAACTTTTTTATTTGTATGACGTAATTTCATCTTATTTCTTATGTAATTGAAATTTTAATAAAAATGGAAAGTAGGTACCTTGTGGATTTGCATAAGATTTTATAATTTTAGAATAAAAATTCTTACTTTAAATTTGAATTTATATATCTATAACTATATTATTTAATAAAAAAACAAAGGGGGGCCTTTTTTTAGTTTTGCACACAGGCCCATCTTCGGGATAAACCGCCACTGGTGTAGCCATGTAGGTATTAGATTTATGTTTTCACGCTCACCTCCGTCAGTGTAGCTCTGGTCGATTTAATGGTAACTTTGCTGTTGTTGGTAACCGTGGCCGTGATCTCAATGGTCTCGCCTGGCACATAGGCACCCTTGTCCAGACACACCTGACACTCGACTAAACCGGATCCTAAGCACATGGCTTTAGACAGTTTGTGATCGATGTCGCACCGGAACGGTTCCTGCAAAACAACACGAAGTGCATCGTTGCTTAGGCCGATAGGTAATATACTATCGTAAAATCGCATCATTAGTGCGATAAAAAAATGTGCGGCGACGTTAGATGATTGTCCGGTGGGGCGGTGGCGGAAACACGGAGACCAACTCATCCCCCCAAAACCCATCCGGTCACTTGCTGCAGGAACATTTTGTTTTCCGTTTTGGAAGATACGATAAAATATTTTACGAAATCGTAATTACATATACAATAATATTCGTTACACATTCATGTATAGGTAATAAAAAATGCTATTCGAGTTTTGTAACAAAATAACATAAGGGTAGCCATAGCCCGCAGCCCGCTATCACCCCGTCGTCCTCCCAACCTCATCTATGAAGTTCTCGATGCATAATTCCCGAATCCACCACCAAACGTATACATTTCAGGGTTGATAGACCAATTGCGCTCAAAAAATTTACTTAAGGAAAACTTATAATAAACGATAAAATGTAATTATATAATAAATATTATTTATCTTGTTCTATACTATTTATTGCAATATAATATGTGCTAGTACCTATGTGTTTCATAAAATCCACGATACTGATGTAAAATATATTATTATACAACCAGTAATCAATTGATCAAATGAGTTTTTAATTTTTTGGGATTAGATTGAACTACGACAGTATTTTCATATCTGAAAGTAGCCATTATTAGGGTAATCTAAATACAAGCGCAATATGGTATATTAACCTTAAAATACAAATTTTGTTTTGGGCTCAACTGCACGTCCATTCCCGTACATAATACATTATATTTAGGCATATTATTATTATTATTATATTGCTTGTAACATAAAGTTTTACTATACAGATAAAATGGACGGCTCCATGTTGAGGTCAATCGGGTTCATGACGATGAAAACTTGTTGGTTCTTGTGCGTGAGTGAGTTGGGTTCCCGGAGCGCCGCCTTACAGTAGTACTGGACCCAACCGGACTTTCCCAGGAACGTGGACGGCAGTCCCGGCGGCAGGCCGAGCTTAAACGGAAAACTGTGAATGCCCGGCGACAGCATCACTGGCGGTTGTCCTGCAGCACACATCACACGCGCAGAGGACATTTCAAATACATATTATATTATGGTAACATGATATTATAGTAACCTTCAAAGTTTGCGTGGTTGGGCAGCCACTCGACGCGTATTTTGGACCGTAGGTGGACTTGAGAATTTATTTATTTTCGTCTTATTAGGCGTCTTAAAATTATATATGTATATGAGTGTCTCTTATTATTATTTCACAGACTATACCTAATACCTATATACTATAATATTGTCTCGTTCTTGTTTAAGTAGTTACGCGTGATTCTTTCAACGCTCTTCTGCAGCAGTTCAAAAACTAACTTTATTTCGCATTATTTTTAGTCGTGTTACATTTTTAATTCGTTATCACCCCAAGATACGTATCGCATTTTAAATCCACTGGAGTGCATGGTACAATAATAATGGCTTCTGATAAAGACTCAATAATTGACTCCAAATATGAATCTATAAAAACACCCTTTTTAACAAACCTATTGGCTATTATGATTCAATGTGTGTCCAATCGTTATTGGTAAAATCAAATTTTTGACGAGTAGTTTATGAATTTTTAACTTTTATTTTAGGTAAATGGTGTAGTGGTACCCTACATAATGTTAGTCCACTACTTCGATCATTTAAACTTATAAGTTTAAATTCTTACCTATATAACTGCATGTAATAGTTAATTCTCATGAATCTTATTTAAATAGAAGATACTACAATATTAACATTCTGTTTCGGAACATGAAATTTAAAACGTACATAAGTTATGATTCGAAAAATCAAAAAACTTCGTAAATTATTACGATCAAAAATATAGTACAAAATATATAAAATTTTTTAACAACCTAAAGTATTTTTCAAAAAATGGTTTTATAGGAACGTCGATTCTTTTTATAATGCTTTTTCTTCGTTAAATGAATCACTTTGTATAATATTATACCATATATGATGGACCTTTAATATAAGTTTATATGGTATTGTGGTGTAGAATATTTTACTTAATCTTAACTTTAAATTTGTTTCTTTATTTCTTATCCCTACAGAATCTGAAACCATGTGTTGGACGACTAAAAATAAATTTTCTTGTAGCAATTCACAAATTTCGGTGGACGTGGGCTAAAATGTTATATGTCCATCGCCCTGTTTTAGAGAGCCTATATGGTTTTTATACGTCTATATTATAGTGTCGATATCTAAATGGAATCGCATTCAACAGAACTTTGCTAAATCAATATTTTTTGTTTTTCCTGCACATACAATGTAGAGGAATTTATCATGGCATGATTAATAATTACACATACCCGGTTCTCCGAGCAGTCTCATCCGAAAATCTATGTAGTTTTCTTTGTCGTAGATCCGCTCTCGCCGTTTGCTTTTCAATCGCACTACCCCTTCTCCGATCACGTGGAAATGTAAGCCTATATAACATAAATAAATCAAATATTATAGGATATTATGCCGACTGATTAATCCTATCGACGGGTTTTTAATAAGTATGACGAGTATATACCTATAAAAGTATGATTATTATTTATTGTATAGGTATAAGTATAATATATATATATATATACATTATTAATGTTTACGTCGCTGCAGTGACTGACCGGCAGCGCGCACGCACTGTACCATAGCAAATTTATAGTTTCAATTATGAATACCTACCTATACTGTTAAGTTATACAATTTGTGATTTAGACATAATACATTTATGTGTATAATATTATATAAGGTTAATTGTGCATTTCATTTCATCGAATCTAGTCACGACTCACGGACGAGTCGCTGAGGTGATGTTCCGTGAATCCTTAAACTGCGAGCACTGCAAATGACTGAATACCATTTATAATCTTTAGTAATTTATTTTATTACTTTAATAAAATATTTTTTCTTGTCCCGTTGACACTAGAGGTATATTGGGTAACAATGTTATTAGAATTAAACTGTTTGTGATTCTTTATATGGTTTTTAAGTATACCTACCTAATCGTCATGCCTCATGACGCCTGCAGCTGTGTATATATCATAAAATAGCTCTAACCTTGTCTGCAATTTTGTCATAAGAAAAAAATCATTTTTTCACTTGTTTAAGAAAACAAGGTCTGTTTAAAATTACTAAACTTTACAAAAAATTGGACGCATCGTTAAAAATAAATAATGTAATTTGTGTGTTGCGAGCGTGCAGCGTATTACCGAAAGGAATACAATTTGAATAATTCTCATATAATGTGTATTTCAGTAATCCATTAATTTTCACGTTTATGCAATTTCAATCAAAAGGCCAAAATCAGTCTGCTGTAATATTTAGCAGTACCTACCTCTAATCGAGGTTATATCCAACCTTAAAAAAAGCGGGTAAGTCGTGGATGTCGCTCTGCTGTACAGTAGGTTACTGTAATGGATGGGATTAAATTTGAATGCAATGATAGGTATCATTGTATACGAAAAACGATTCTGAACGGAGATGATTTGTCAGTCTAGGATATATTATACT